TCTCTGTTACATATCTCCTTCAGAAAAAGAAAGGTGACAGGATGTAGAAGTTTAAAAGTCGTTTTTACATGGTAATCGGTTTGCAGATCAGTGCAGGTGCCGCGGGATCCGGTTTCCAGGCTGTGCGGATCAGTCGGATTTTAATCGAAGCGCCGGGGAAAGAGGCAGACGGGCCTCACAAAGCGAGACGGACGGAGCCCTGAAACTCGCACTCACCTCCGCTACGCTTCAGCCGCCGGTCCCACGCGCCCAGGCTCACTCCCTAATTTACGACACCCGTATTGATCGATGCTCTGCGATCGTGCACCGTCCAGCGGTTTTTCCCCATAGCTGCCCTAGAACACATTTCAAGCACGGGCCCCAACGTGATTGGAAACACAGATTAATATATATATAAAAATGTCAAAATTATTTCCCCGCGCATAAATACCAAATACATATTTCTCATGCCCATATGACAAATAAGAACTATTAAATTATGTTCCGATGGCTGTAAATTGATTTAATTTGAATTTGTTTCAGGAGGAGACAAAAAAAATGAAGCCGCTGTATAAAACACGGCTTTTCCTACGGTATTTATCGCCCTGCTTCATACGCCAATAAATCTTTCTTTTAAAAGTTAGTTTTTTCTTATAGCTTAGCTTCATCTCTGTTTCCCACAGCTCTGTTTCTCCTGGGGGAGGGGGGGGGGGGGGGGGGGTTGATCACAGTGGCCTGTGACAGAGGGGTATCACCATGTCGTAATAACGCTCATGTCGAGCGTGGCTTGACACAGCACTCCACCAGTGAGAGAGGCACAGCGTAGGAAGAGATGAGGGCTATGATTGGCTGAAGGCGAGGAGCGGCGGCGGATTGCCGCAGCCAATCAGCTCTGAGCTGAGAGCGAGGTTTAAAACAGCCACGGCCCGCATGTTGACTGCCTACCATCTGGCAATGCTGCCCCACGCAGGGAATAAGCGAGGCCCCCCCCCTCCCACATGTAGGGGGCTTTCACAGGCAGCAGTGGAGGCCCAGGGGAAAGCAGGCCATGTCTTGAGGGAGTGAGAGAGGGCTGTGGGGAGGATGGGGGGGGGGGGGGGGGCGGGAGGAAGAGAGGTGCCGAGGTTGTGGGCCGAGGGGGAGGGGGGGTTGCCGATTGTAAATGTTGCCAAGCAGCAGCACACCACAGAAAGCAGAGTACACATATATATGATATGTATTTGTTTTTTTTATGATTTTTACGTGATTATTTGGGGGGGGGGGTGTGCCCCCCTCTGTTTGAAGATCCATCACCACCCCTCCGGGATCCCAGTGAGTGAGGAATCTCCTCATGTCATAACTACACTGACATTAATTCACTCTGCGTGACTGGAATGAAAACACAAACTGTTTGAGACAGGGACAGGAACCAAGCTCACGCCAAGGTCACGGCTCGCTCGCGGCACCGGCGGGGGGGGGGGATGGCACCATCAGCGCGGGAGTGGTCTGCGCTGCTTGGAGCACAATGCTGCATGTTGGCGATGTCAGCTGAGTATTACATAAGCAAGGGGTGCAAACGGGAGCAGGAATGCATGGCTGAAACACGCAGGCGCCGGAAATAGAGCCAGCCTCTAATGAGAGCACTGCCTCGCTCTCAAAGCCTCCACTGCCTCTCAGCCCTGCCTCGTGGCGTTGGGGGGCCCGGCGAGTGGCTCTGACGCACCTCGCAGCCGTTTCGACCCCCACAGGCTCCGCGGATCGCATGGCACTTCCGTTCCACGGACGCTGTTCAAGGTCATATTTACTCACACGGAAAAGCTGTTTTTTTCCCCCGCTCTTGTTTCATTAAAATCCTCAAGAGATTTATTTATAATCTTATTAGTCTGCTAGTGCTTTTATCTGCATCACTTTACAGTTTTACTCATTAATACAGCCTAATATTTTATTTAAATAATTCGCACTAAGTACCCCGCTTAGCTCAAACCGGCAACCTTTGAATCATTGTCTGTCCTTAAACTATCTGTCACCTGCTGTCCTTAAGCGGTGTGACGCACATCTCACGGACCTTGTGGGACAGTCGCTCCTCTGTGGTCATTTTTAACCGCTTGAGGGAGATTTCGGGTGAGCGAGGAGTCTTCCCTCCCAGATGTGAGGGTCTATAAAAATCGGCAGTCGTGGGCCACAGACTGTCAGGATGCTGCCGTTTCAACCCGCTGCGAGACACACATTAGTCACTACTGTACCCTGTACCGCTGAGCTGGAAAAGAATCAGCAAAACCACCATGGGGAGAACTGTCTGAGGGGGGGGGTTCCAGTGGAAAGGTGTGATCTCCAGAGACACAGGAGAAACTCCAGCTTCCCAAAACGTAGCCTCGTGGCTCTTCTGGAACATTCCAGATCCATAACAGCATTTCTGTGTGGGTCCATCCATGATTGATAATGCAAATGCAAGGGGGTGGGGAGGGGGAGTGATAGATCTCAATATGCAGGATTATTATAGAGAAATGGAAGATTGCCTAGTCCACATACAGCAAGCTGCTGTGTTCGCCGTAATAGGTCTTGTTAGCTGAGTGAATCATTGTTCGACAAAAACACTGGTTTACTGGAAAATCTAACAGGGACAAAAGATTTGCTTGTATGTGGTGCTGGGGGCTTGACTTTCTCTCAACACACCAAATAACGACCTGTCACTATCTACAAGACAGAGATGACCCCCCCCATCTCCCACCCAAGAAAAAAATAAAACAGCAACACAAATTAAAAACAATGGCCCCTGAGACTGTTTGCTTCCACACAATTTTCCGGAATGAATAGTGTGAAATCATTTGATACTTACAGCTAAGAATAGGACGGCGTTGCCTTTTGACATCCCTTCTAATACTAATCGCCTGCGAGCAGCTTGTCAGTAATGGCGTTGCAGGTGTTTGGAGGACGCTGATATCTCCATCTCAGCTTGCTAACCAGAGGCGGCATCTATATCATATGCCTGACCATCTATTACGTGTCATTTCCTGCGCCGGGACGCGTCTCCGCTCCCGCAGCTGTTGGCATGTGCGGGGACGTAGCGGGAGCTGTCTGAGGCGGACTTGTGCATTCTTTGCTTGATTTATCTTCATTTTTGTTCACTTGTTAGATGCATTTCACACGGTGACTCTTTTCTTTACGCTAGCCGCTGATTTACCGTTGCTGTTCGTTTCCCGCCTGTCATTTATGCTTTTACTCCTGCACTGTTTCACACTAACATGCACAGAAGTGGTCGCCAAATAAATTACTATAAATGCAGACATTTATTGGCATAATGAATGGCAAACTACTACTACAGGAAGCCTAACAAATGTGTTTTAGTCAGTAACCCACATTTCCTTGCATGGGCATGTTAAACGAGATCTTCCTGAATGTATGAGCGACTTTATATAAGTAGTTAAGGGGAATTTATGGACGTAAACAGGCGTTCTGCTCCTTGTGTTTTTGTCGGTTTAATATAAAAATATAATATAAAAAATATGCCAGCATCACCTCCACTCAGGTGCTTACTGTGTGCAAAAACATTCATAATGTCTTTGGGTGAGAAACTTTTTATGGAAAATATCCCCCGACCAGGAAAGAGCAAGATAAACCTGAACTGCGACCAGGAGAGAGCAGACCGTGAGTGTCAGCGTTGCGTCACTCTAGGATTGGAACACCTGTGTTTGAGCTGAGGTCCGATACAGTAATCATTCTGCACCAGGCAGCAGGTATCTTAATTAAATGAGCACCGATGATATACGTATGTGTCGTAGTAGGGTGGAACTGAAGAACGGGGGGGGGGACGTTAGCGGCGCTTAGTGTGGAGCCGGAGCGGGGAGCAGTTACAGTAAAAAAGAAAAGGGGGGGGTCACATTGGGGGTACTTTTCACGGGCTGATTTTTCAGGAGGCCTACATACATTTGGCGCAAAAGGAGAGACAGTGCTGGAGTCCAGATAATACTGCTGTAAATTCATAAGGAACCCACCTAGGGGCACGACGAAATGCGAAAGATAAGCATTAACGATTAAAGGATATTTTTCACAGGAGAAATGCAAGCCAGTCGCGATACTGTCTGTTGTAGCGCATCGGTATGCGGTGAGAGAATGGGAAACCGCCGACGCTGCTGTCGTATAATGAAAACTAACGAGTCCAGGTGCCGCGCTGACCCGGGGATAAGGGACGGCCGGGCAGCATGTTTGCGCTGGTGGTTCGCCTTCATTACAAACCCCATCAATTCTCTTTAGGAGCCGCTATAGTATCGACCCAGCAGCTGAGATGCGGGAGCCGGTTCTACGACAGCCAAATGTGCATGCAAATGTTGTCACCTGGCGAACAGAGAAATGTGTGGATTTTAAGCCACCGAAGACGTTGCTTTCCGTTCTTGCATAAAGTTATGTGCATTGCATAAACATAGTACTGAACTCCTATGTGTATATAATTGCAAGCATCAACTGATCATTCAAAGCTGCTCTTATACTTAAAATGTCTGTACAGTGAAAACGTCTGTCTCTTCTTAAACCACTATAAATTGAGGTCAATTATTAGAACGCTTGTCGAACGGCAGTGCAGTGCGTGGTCTTTGGCTCCCCCTAGTGGCAATATTTGTGGCCCGCTGTGTTGCAGATCACAGGCCCTGGGGGACCGCCGCAAGGCAGACGACTAACCAGGGTCCGCGAAGAGGTGGGTAGGGAGATATAAGATGATCTGGAAATGAATCAGTAATGTCGCATCTGTTCTGCACGAAAGGCTTTATTTTACATAGGATGCGCTATTTCTGCTTTACTTTGGCGTTTTTCTTGCTCTTTCTTTTCTTTTGGCCTGTATACCTTGGGGGTCACGTGGCTCACGTGAAATTGGCTAAAAGCTGTCCAGGGGTGGCCCCATGAAAGAAAATAGGTGTCCTTAGATATTGTTTAACATAAATTGTTTATTTATATACCAACACATGCTATTTCTGAAACATATCGATATAAATCGATACAAAAAAAACTTGTGTACAAAACAACTGCTAAGTACATGGCGAATATACATAAAAAACATACAAATCTGTTATTTTGTCAACCGATTCGAGCAACAAAATGATACATTAAAACGGAATCCAGCGGACGAGCTCTGAGCATAGTCAAGAAAACTATTAAAATTGCATAACCAAAAGATTGCCGTTTATAGATTTATCTGGTTTCAGGAATAAGAATTAAATGACCAGGAAAAAAAATCCAGTGCAGTATAGGAGTAAGAAATATGTCAGTAATAAGTTAATCTTCGCAGCAGTGGTCCGGCCCCGTGTGTCCAGCAAGGTGCTTAAAATCTACAGCAATAACCACAGCCTTTATTTTTACAGCAGCCACAGCAATACCGGCACAGGGACAGGTGGCTCTGCCGCTTCGTCCTTAGGAGGGCCTAAGAGAAAAGTGAACGATCAAGTCACTATATGGTCTGCGTGGAAATAGCAGCTCCTGAGTATTATCCTGGCATATTAACTTCACGTAATCCGTCGGCTGCCCAGCATTAAGTAACTATATTACTGTAATATTACAGGCCTACCGAGTATATGCGGCATCTTAGTTAACGTTAATCTCTCCAGTTTACTTTAATGAATGTGCTCCAGTAGCGTACCAATGGATGGGTCTCCTCTGCAGCTGCTGGTGTCCAGCGCTCCTCATTTCGCGTGTCCCCCCGGCCGGTCTCCTGTGTCAGTGTCTGTCGGTGGAAATAAGCCACAGGTAAGGTAACTTCATGTGATGATCGGAGCTCCAAACACGCCGCTTCTGGTCCATAACTGACTGGCGCTTACCTGGGAGAAGGGCACGGCCGCGGAGAGAAGGACGCAAACGCAGAGCGTCACGGCCGCGATGCACAGGAGCTTCATTCTCACACCACGTTGCAAAGTTTCCTTCCGCTTCTCAACCGATCGGCTACCTGAGGCGTCTTCAAGCGCTGGGTGGAAAGTCACTTTCCAGTAGGTTGAAGAGAGGATCTGCTATCAGAATGCAGCCACATCAGTTTATATCTGTAATGCACCCTGTTGCCTCATATCCCACCCCAGCCGGCCCCGCCCATTCGTGTAATTTCTGCTATTTCATAACTCCAAATGAGAATGTTTAACTGCATAGAAATATGACTGTGCATATGTCTATCACGACTTCGGATCGTTTCAAGTAAATTGCGATAAATATTAATGTGTCATTTTGGTAGCCTATATTAATATTCGCATTAAATAACATCTTGTTTTGGTATAATGGTTTGCATTGCGGTCAAGCCCAATAAATATATCTTGAGGCGAAAAACAAAACAAACAAAAAAAACGTGAATTCAGACGCAGAACGTCGTAGTGAGACATTTTCACAGGCCTGACGCCTGGAGTCCAAAGCAGGCTAAATGATATATATTCCACACAGGCATAGCAGCGCTGTAATATTCAGTACGGATTTATTTCTCTCATCTTTCAGGATTTATAACTGGACACAGATCCTTGCAACAATCAAATGCATGCAGTTGTATTTATTAGATCATTTTCATACTTGACACTTAAACCAAAACAAATTACTCAGTAATTTCGTTAATTCTCCAGGGGATAAAAACAATTAAAATATGGATGACCACATTGTTCTTTTCTAAGGGGCAAAAACGAACAGTTTAAAAACAGTAATTTTCATATTTGATTTCCTCAAATGAAGCACACGTGAGAGTGTGCGTTATTCATCAACAGCTCGGTGAAAGTTATTTAAAAGTATATCGGAGAGAAACCGGAACAAAAAGACTAGGGACGCCTTTCATTTAGGCCTGGAAGTCAGCAGATATCCGTCATTTTGAGTTTTAATTCTGGAAAAGCCGTCCCTTTCTGTCGGGAAATTCCGGGGCATAATTGGGGAGGGGAGACAGAAAGTGGTCTTCGGAAATTCCGCTTAGGAATTCCCACTGAGGAACATGCACCTTATATAATGCAAATAATGATTTTCTTTCTATCACTGAGGTCTTGAATATGTTGGGAGCGTTTTATAAGTTTGGAAACGCTTCAAGCGGTATAAGTTTTCAATACTGCAATGAAACTTCTGTAATAGTCTGCATATCAGACTAACATACCTTGATTTACGACATCTCAGATGATGTGATCTTATGATAATTTACTCTAAGTATTAAACAAATCGATTCACTTAAATAATAAAGTTTTAAGTCAGACAAAACAGGCCACATATGGGCTAATGAACTGGACTGAGTAAAGCCAGCATTTGCCATTTGCTGTAGTTTACGATAAAACTAAAGTAGGACAACAACTGTCGTTTGGCGGACACCCCTGCATCAGTCTCGTTTAGCGATAACCTGTAACTCGGTTTTCTAATTGGCAGGTGTCCACTGTCAACAAAAATAGCTCTAATAACTGTTTTTGATGAGCAATGCCAAAAATGGAACAGAACACGATAAAATTGCATTACCAGAATGAACGTTAGACGTAGAAATATGAAAGTATACAAAAACGTTGTCTATTAAACTGATGTTTGTTGTTTTAAGGTTAGAAAATGTGAACAGTTTTTTCTTTTGTCGCACTACACCGTTCTCTTCTCATGGAATAGGCTGTATTGTAAGGGAGGTAATGCTAAGATTATACAATTCCTTGGTGAGACTCACCTACAATATTGTGCGCAGGTTTGGTCACCATATCTTAAAAAGGACATTGCGGCCTTAGTAAAGGTGCAGCGTAGGGCCACAAGAATGATTCCTGGTCTTAGAGGAATGTAATACGAGGAAAGGTTAGTTGAGCTAAATCTGTTCAGCCTCAAGCAAAGGAGACTGAGGGGGGACATGATCCAGGTCTATAAGATCCTAACAGGTTTGGATGCTGTTCAACCGAATAGTTACTTCAGCATTAGTTCAAATACAAGAACTCGTGGCCATAGATGGAAATTAGCGGGAGAACATTTCAAACTGGATTTAAGGAAGCACTTCTTTACACAGCGTGTAGTCAGAGTATGGAATAGTCTTTCTGATAACATAGTGCAAGATGAATCCTTGGGTTCCTTTAAATCAGTGCTAGATAAGATTTTAACAACTCTGAGCTATTAGTTAAGTTCTCCCCAAGCGAGCTCGATGGGCCGAATGGCCTCCTCTCGTTTGTATAGTTCTTATGTTCTTATTTTCTCCTGGTGCAAAACATTTAAACTTTTGCTCTCCGACGCTAACATGCTAACCCATCCGCTGTAAGCCAAACATGTAGAGGTCTGTTAAAAATCATAATAAATGGGAACAAATGTTCCAAATTATATGCAAAACATTTGCCATTAATGATACAGGTCGAATGAGAGAGTTGGCTTTCTTCATTTTTTGGACCCCCTGAGATTCTGTCTTTTAACATTTTCTGTACAATATGTACTAAAATCCTACATCCTGAATTGTAATGTGTCTGATATTTTGGAGCTGTAACAGTAGCCTTTGACGCGGGTTTACCCCCTTGCTAAGGGCACCGTATGGAAAGGAGGCAAACTCAGTTATAACCACTGCCAGTGAAAATCCGTGAACTGAAATATCACACCCTGGTGGTGTATCACTTGTGAAAATGTTGGCACTTTGAGACACATCTGTGCCACAAAGCTGGCATGAGACCGTGTGTGCTTTCAAACAGCCTGCAGTGCAGTTACACTGAAGAACCCCATGTAGCGCCTAAGGTGAGCTCACAGATGTTCAGGACATCTCTTCTTCTTCCACAGATGAGGAGGATGGTGACCATGATGTCCTTTGGAGAACATGGGCAGATGGGCTGCGTGTTCCCGGCCGTGTTTACCTGCAGCACAGATCCAAGGGTTTTCCCCAGCCGAGACAGGGAACGTGGAGCCGCCAACACTATCAGAGGGGATCTTCTGCTCAAACAGGACTGGGCTCCAGTAGGGCGGCCGCCACACACACACACACACACACACACACAGGACTGGCACCAGCCAAGGACACTGACTCCCCCTCCCTCCCTGCACCGCGAGCCAAACAGGTACTTCTATGGGCCTCACTGCACCCCCTGGCTGTGACGCAATGTATCACATCTTTAACTAGGGTCTAATACAAAATTGACAAGCGCAGCAAATGATTGCATCACAGTCCATGGCTGAATCATTCTTTCCTCTACAGTCACATGTGGGGTGAATCAGCAGCATGTTTATATATATATATATATATATATATANTCAGCAGCATGTTTATATATATATATATATATATATATATATATATATATATATATGCAGTTGTGTTCAGAATAATAGCAGTGTGTCTAAAAAAAGTGAATAAAGCTGAAAATCCTTATAATAGTTTTTATTTCCATACATGCAAATGCATTGGGAACACTACACATTCTATTCCAAATCAAAACAAGAAGGGAAATTCATCACATTTGTTTTACTCCTTTACAGAAAGGGAAGGAAATGGAATATTAGGCTGTTCAAAAAAATAGCAGTGTCCACATTCTTCTTTACAAACTCAAAGATTCACCGTATGAACTGAAAAATGTTTTAAGATTTTGCTTTCCTTTGAATCATTGAACTAATATTTCATTGTATAACCACTGTTTCTGATGACTGCTGCACATCTGTGTTGTATGGAGTCGACCAACTTCTGACACTTGTGAACAGGTATTCCAACTCAGGATGATTGGACTACATTTCTTGGTTTTGCCTCAGAAACAGCATTTTTGATGTCACCCCACAAGTTTTCTATTGGATTAAGGTCCGGGGATTGGGCTGGCCACTCCATAACGTCAATCTTGTTGGTCTGGAACCAAGATGTGGCTCATGTGTTCTGGGTCGTTTTCTTGTTGAAACACCCATTTCAAGGGCATTTTCTCTTCAGCATAAGGCAACATGACCTCTTCAAGTATTTTAAGGTATTCAAACTGATCCATGATCCCTGTTATGCGATAAATAGGCCCGACACCATAGTATGAAAAACATCCTCATATCATGATGCTTGCACCACCATGCTTCACTGTCTTCACAGTGTACTGTGGCTTGAATTCAGTGTTTGGGGGTCATTTGACAAACTGTCTGCAGCCCCTAGACCCAAAAAGAACAATCTTGCTTTCATCAGTCCACAAAATGTTGCGACGTTTCTCTTTAGGCCAGTCAATGTGTTCTTTGGCAAATTGTAACCTCTTCAGCACGTGTCTTTTTTCAGCAATGGGACTTTGTGGGGGCTTTTTGCAGATAGCTTGGCTTTATTTAGGCACCATCTGATTATAACAGTACTCACAGGTAACTTTAGACCTTCTTTGATCTTCCTGGAGCTGATCATTGGCTGAGTCTTTGCCATCTTGGCTGTTCTTCGATCCATTCGAATGGTAGTTTTTCGTTTTCTTCCACGTCTTTTAGGTTTTGGTTGCCATTTTAAAGCATTTGCGATCATTTTAGTTGAGCAGCCTATCATTTTCTGCACTTCTTTATATGTTTTCCCCTCTCCAATCAATTTTTTAATCAAGGTATGCTGTTCTTCTGAACAATGTCTGGAATGACCCATTTTACTCAGAATTTCAGAGAGAAATGCACTATAACCAGCATGTACAACATTTGCTGCCTTCCTTCCTTAAATAAGGCCCATAATTGGCACCTATTTTTTCACAGAATGAATGACCTCACTAATTGAACTTCACACTGCTATTATTTTGAACACGCCCCTTTCAAGTAATGATTCTGTTACACATAATCACCAGCATGCATGTCATGACTGTTGGGTCTGTTGGTTTCCCATTACTCTACTACACCTACTAGTAAATTATTTGCCATGTAGAAATATAATTTCTACCGAAAACGGTGATTGATCAGGTTAGTCATGTCGGACTGCTATTATTTTGAACACAACTGTGTGTGTGTGTATATATATATATGTGTATATATATACATATATATATACACA